CAAGGGCCCCATCCCTAATGCCTTCGCATGGAGGTTAGCATTTGAACATATGAATAGGGGCTGGGGTGCACAGTGTTCAGTCCAGAGCAGAAGGGAAAACTATAGGGTGAAGAATATTCTGGAAAGCATTTGGGGCTCTAGGATATGTCGCTGATGATAGAGGGCAGAATGGACGCATTGGGAGCATACTGAGGGGCTTGAGATTGGGTCATACTAGGGGGAAATGCAGAGTCATATGGGAACAGATTCTGGGTGTAAAGAATGTTCTAGAAGTGATGGGTTTCTGGTGACTGAGGTGAATGAAGATTTAGGGTCTGGTGGGATTCTCCTGTTGGCCTTCCAGGGGGAGGTAGAGAATTCCTGGGAATTATAGTCTCTTTTGGGAAATGATCTTTCAATCAAGTTGAAGTGATGAAGCCAGGAGTTCATTGGCATGGGATTGGGTTGGAGGAAAGGCTACCTACCAGGGCAGCCCAGGGGCTTCCTAGCCTTGCCGCTGGGACAGAGGGAGCACCTCCCCTCCAGAGTAGTGGGCTGCCAGGGGAGGTCAGCCTTCCGTTGAGGATCGAATGAAAGTCGAAATCAGTTTTGGCCAAAGCAGTAGAGTTCTCCACTTGGTAAAACGTCTAATTATTATTGTTAGTAGTAACATTTTTGCAACAACAAAAGGGGTGAGGAACATAAAGTTTATCATTAGATAATATTTAGTATTATATGCAGCATTTGCAAAGGAATGTGCATAGGGCCGTCAGTTTTTGAGGAGACGAAATGAAAACACGTAGTTTTCAGGAGTAAATCACTTGAAAAGGTTATTTCCTTTCTGAGGCTCAAAACCCTATGGATGGAGAAAGTGCTGATTAAGCACGAACAATTCTTTATCATTTTACAGGGGAATAAAAACAACCAACCTATTTATAAAACTAGCTCCATTCCATCTGATTTTGAACTTGAAAAGGAGAAATGTTTGAGGCCCACAAGGGCCTTTGATGGTCCCAGTTCCTGTAAAAAGCGAATTATTGTAACCATGGCTCTTGGAGGCGCTGCAGAGAAAGGTCTGTTGGAGCAAAGTGAGCGTGTGGGGGAGGCTGCTCTGTGTCCAGATCCTTTTTCTGACCTCTCGACCTCCCCAAGAGGGAATATTCTCCTTCATGTTTCTACAGGAGCCAGTCTCCCCCAAAGAGAGGCCTCCCCACAGTCACTAGAATTTAGCAAATTACATACTTTCAAAGTTGAGAATCTGTCTCTTTTCCATTAAATCAGCCGAACTCAAGCTGTGGGAGCCATATTTGCTTTCTAAAGTGTTTTCTGATTTTGACACTCAAAGAAATAATTTTCTTATTAAGTGGTTCCCTGCACTTTCAACATTGTTCTGACTTTGATCATATGATACAGTTGAGGTTGGAAATTATCTAAATTACTTTGGTGTTTTGGGAGTTTTCATGACCGTGGATATGAAAGGAAATCACGGAATCACGTAATTTCATGATGTGAACAAAAAAAATTCCCACTAATTTACATAATCTTCTGAGCGCCCGAAAGGGGAGGCGTTGGGGGAAGAAACCCACGTTGGTTGAGTGGCTCCTGTGTGCCCCACACGATGTGCAGAGTGAGTTCCTGTGGCTGGCATGGCCTACCTGTGTTCTCCCTCCACTGACCCCTCCCCACCCCCACACACCTGACCCACTCCCCACTTTCTGCATAAGCACTTGTTCCTGCAGAGCAGAGGGAGGGAAAGCAAGGAGAGAGGTGCTGCAGGCCCAGGCGATGGAACGCAGGGCTGGATTCCTCAGAGACCCAGTGAGATGGGAGTGCTAATTGGATTTGGTGGCAGGTCCTCGGTGACCTTCCCAGAGCACTCGTGTGTCGTGGTTGAAGAGGAATCGGATTTGGGTCAGTCGAGAATGGAATTGAAGCAGCGGAATTTAAAAGTACAGAGTACTTTTATGAGAAGTTGTGTTCTGAAAAGGAATCGGTGGCAAGAAAGTCAAGGAGCTTTGACACAGCGTTATTTTGCAAAGTTGTGAAGACTGACACATCCATGGGGGCTGGCGGGGATAGGAAGGTGGATAGTTTTTTTATGGCTTGGCAAGGACTGGGTTGATACTGAGATTTGGGCTACCTTTAAACATTTTTTGTGTGCCAAGATGTGTTCGCTTTTATTTTTCATGACATTCCTGTTGTAGAGAAGGAAAATCTCTACTTTTAGGTTTAGTGACTGGGACATGTGAATTAAACTGACCACAAAACACATCAGTAGGAGGAAAGGTTTATGTTGTGTGCACAGGGGCTCACAGAAAATAAGTGAAAACCCAGGGAGGCCATTATGCTTGAGATGTTTCCGTACCATTTAGCAAACGGCAGTGCAGTTAGAAGAGGGGAGAGACTGAGGAAAAAGGGGTTCAGGCTTCTAGGGTGCTAAACTGTGGGAAGGCAAGTATAAGGGAGACTAATGGAAGTTGAGGTTTCTTTTAGTAAAGTTGGTTTCTGCAGAGTCATCTCAGGGACATCTTGCTTTCTCCAGTGACAAGGGTTGCTCTCTTCTTCCTCCTCCGGGTATGAAGGGACACCTGGGCCATGCTTCTAGGCAGAAAAGGGCAGAATGGAGAGTTCCTCCTGTGCGTAGTTCTCAGTTGCCTTCAACTCAAAATAATCCTATGCCAAAATGGCATATTTTGGGTGGAATGTTCTGATCCCCTTATGAGCCAGATAAATGGCAGTGTCCCCATCATACAGGAGGAAAGCCAGTCGGGCACCCCAAGAACTCATCCTTCTACAGGATGGAACTGGGGTTCGAGCCCAGATCTGTTCAACAGCAGAGGTGAGACTTCTGCGTGAGGTGTGTTCTCCACCACCCATGTCATGGACTCCAAGAAGCCGAGGGAAGGTTGCGTGGAGCATGAGTTTCTTCCTGGAGTTACCCCAACACCTGTACACGCGTTTCTTGGGAATAGTGTTTATTAACTTCACACCCGCATCCTGCTAGCTAATTGGGGGCAGGGTCCACGCAACCCCTTGTGATCAAGGGCGTAATCCAGTGACCTGAGTCACCGTGTGGTACAGGGAGCAGTAATTCTGACTCTGGACGGTGGTAACAGCTGCCAGATGAGTTGTTTTCCCAGAGGTAGCTGTCCCATGCTAAGGCGTCACAAGCAGAAGAGTGATTGAGCTCACAGTCCCGAAGTCTGATAGCGGGCCTGCTGAATTTGGCAATGCGTGGCGTGGCATCGGAAATGCCATGGGAAAATTATTCAATATTGGACGCTTTTGACAACTTAATGGCTGCCTGTTCCCAGGCTGAATGGAACGCTGGAAGGCATTTTCTTCTCACCGTCTCCAAATACATTTCGTTCTGCAGCGAATAACATGTAGCTCTGGGCCCTTCCTCGTGAAACACAATGGAAAGAATTGGTTTAAATTTTATTGTCTGTTGATAAATACTTTGTGCATTATTTCAGCCAATTCTAATTGGATTTATTTTTAAACTCGATTTCTGCAAATGGTACTGACAGTAAACAATAAATCAGATGATTACTCTAACACAGAAAACATAAACACCGCAAAACTGCTTGTATGGCCTTGTTTTGGCCTCTTAGTGCCTCGGCTGAGTGGACGGCCCATGGGCTCCTGCCAGGGATTTATAGGAACCTGGCAACATAGCAGAGCGCTGACCGGGCTCAGAAAAGACACTTGCATGCTCATTGCACCGTTTGAAATACTGTAAAGATTGACTCTTCTGTTATAATAGGGAGCTTTGTTGTTTTTCAGAATTAAATCAGGGTGCAGAGCACGCCAGTGCCACAGACACTGCGACGGAAATATCCGGGCCACATACGTCGATCTCCATCCTCCCCTGATACCATGTGGTGTCCTCCCCAAAGGCAGCAGGGGCTTCGGCAGTAACTCCAGTCATGGCGTTTCTCACCCCCCTCCCCAGGGGTGTGTGTTTTGCTCAGAAACCTGCAACATGAGCTCAGGGCCTGGCAGGTTCCCCTCAAGGAAGGAAGACCCCGCAGGCGTGCCAGGCACAGTGACCCGTTCCTGCTGCCACTACGGGGGGCTCACACATGGCAGAGCCTCAGCAAGGGGTCTTTCGGGCAACTTCACAGTGTGGGGGGGGTTCCTTTGGAGGCTGCATTGTACCTCCCGTTCTTCACACGGTATGTCCAAGTGGCAGCTTCTCTGGAACATGCCAGAACTTGCAGACGTTTGTGGTTAATGATAACTGGCTTACAGAAATGGGGGGCTGCCCCGTGGGATCTGAATTCTATGGCCTTTCCGTTCAAGGGGCACATCGAGGTTAATAGGAACGTGGGACCTTCGCAGAGCCCGCATGGGTTCACAGAGCGGAATGTCCCGTCTTTCTGGGAGTGTTACAGGAGGCACCGACCACCGGTGGATTTCCTTGGGCTGGGAATTCGGAATAAAGGTGAGGTTTGAGGAAATAGGAGACAGGAGAGTATTGGTTACTCCACACGGTCCTTCGAAGCGCTTGCATCTCAGAGCGCTGTCCTCCTGTGAATCGTCCGTATACTGAGCTGGCGTCAGGTGATTTTCAGATACTTGGTTCGTCTCCGGACAGATATCTGAAGTCTGCTCAGAATTGTCGGTGCAGATCTGTTCTGTTGCCTCCGTCCCACTGATTCCTTTTGAAATTTATTTTCAAAAATGAAAAATTCTCAGTAGCCGATCTCATTGCGACGTAACGCCGTTGGCTCTTTAGAGGAAATAGATCCGCTTTTCTTCAGTCAGACACGACAGGGAGGGTCTGCTGTCCCCTCTGGCCAGTGGTCCACACTCCCGCCAGAGGGACTGGATTTTGCCACCCTCTGGACCCCATGGGTGGTGAGCTGAGTCGTTGTCCAGCTGCGGAAAATGCTCTGCCCCACTTAGCAGATGTGTGTGGCCAACGCGCGTTGTCCGCTGGGTGGTTGGGGCAGCATTCTCGTCTTAGCAGGGGTGGATAGGGCTGAAGTTCATTGCTGCTCTTTTCTCCCCCACAGGTTCTTAGCATGATCATCAATGCGGCTTACAAGCCTGGAAGGGTGTTGAGAGAATTACAGCTGGTGGAAGATCCACACTGGAATTTTCAGGAGGAGACGCTGAAGGCAAAGTAGGTGTTCTCAGTTCTGGGAGACAAGGTCTGGTAAGCGCCTGCTCCTTTGAAACTCGTCCTTCCTCTTCCTGACACAGCCCGCAGAAGTGGGAACAAATGGGAGGGGCCGTCATTCTTTAGTTCTGGGCGCTGTGTACAGATTTATTGGCATTTCTGTTTCACGGAGTTGCCTTAAGCCTTGGGATTCCGGAACTAAAGGAGAGATTTAACTGTTGTGATTAATGTTCAGAGTCAGAATGTCCTGTGTGTCAGGGTCAACAGATTATTTGATCAGAAGGGGAACAGTTATGAAAGAGAGGATATCCATTGTCATTATTTGTGATTCACGGACAACTCTTAACATTTGATACCGTGAGGAGCTCTGCCAGATACAGATAGAAGTTCTTTGCTCTGAGAGTTGGCAGTGTTAAAAGATAAAAAAAACCCGATCCTCTGCTTGGTTTCGGTGAATGGGCTGTGGGTTGAAATGTAGTTGTTCCCTCTTATTTGCAAATAGGCTAACTGGAAAGATGGTATTTTGGCCTTGCTCTAAGTTTCTCGAGCTCTGAAGTTGAGCCTGGTGGATCAACTGGGGCCTGAAGTTGGCCCCTGCTGGATCGATAAGCTTGAGCACGGTGTTTAGAAGGCGGAGAGAAGAAGGTCCATTTGTCAAGATAATTTTCTGTAATAATCGCTTCAACTTTGGGTCCTTGGTATTCGTTTAGCTTTTCCTCAGAATAGATCTGACTGGTCAACTTGTTGTGGAACAGCGTCCTCACGTATCTTCAGATGTGACATTTGGGAAATGAGATCTTTCTGAGCAGGGACGCACGTTCTGCGACGAGAGTGTGGCTGAGCTCCCTTTTAAAGAAAGCACCTGTCCTGCTCATGTGAAAGTTGAGGGATGTGAAGTGGTTTGTTTGACGGGTTTTATCCTCCCCTGTGGTTTACTGACCACGCTGGTCCTGAGTAAGGATGGCGGGATGCCCCTAGGCCACTCTCCCTTCACTGTCTTCTCCACTCAGCATTTCCTAGTTTCTTTTTTGATCACGTCTGTAATTTTAGACGCTATAAATGTCATTTGTGGTCTAACAATGCACTGCCAAGTCACAGGCATCAGAGGGAATGCGTGTTAGTTGGGAGAACGTTTATTTGTGTGAAGTGGCTTGTCAGTGAGAGGTGGCACGTATCTCCTCCTTCCCGAGAAGTATTTAAATGAGCCTCCCCTATAAATTACCTGAGAGGCTATGATTAATGGGAAAAATTAATGATCTCTTCCAGCCATACTAAATCTTTTCCTTCTGTAATTAGTGTGGTTTGTTAACATTTTACTTTTTTTTAATAGAAATAAATGTAAGCAACTGAATTTATTTAAAAAAAAAAAACAATACATGAGCATTACCTGTAGTGCAGAAAAAACTAAAGCAGGTTTTTCACCAGCTGAATGTTCCTTATCTTTCTACTTCAACTGAGGGGGAGATCAGCAGCACCTCGACATTTTCTAAGGTCAATGCCCCGGAAAGTGGTGGCCAAAAACCCAAGCATGTGTTGGTACAGAGAAACACTTGCTTTAAACAGTTTCTGTAAGATTCCGTACCTCCCAAACACACCTCACGGATAAGGAAATAGGACAAGGACAAAAATCTTAAACCCCATTAAAATCGCCCCTGTTGCTAAACAAGCCAGAAAGTTGCTCCATGTACCAGAATGATAGGGAGAGTTAATTTTGCGGTGTTGGCACTCATTTTCACGTTACCAAGTCGATTAGAGCGTTTATGAAATCCAGCCTCATACAGTCAAAACTGACACGGGCAGTCAGCCCTGCCTGGTCATGAAGGCGATGTGTTACCTATTAGATCGTAGACGATGGTGAGTTCCTTAAGCTGGATCTTACGTGGCAGCTTACAACGAGAATGTGTCTGTCTGCCCCGGGTTTCGAGAGTTCTGCATCACGGTGGCGTCTCAAAAGCAGCCGCTGATGATGACAGATTTACAGGTGGGAGGGAGTGTTCCTTCTGAGGGTACTGTGTGCTGAGTCACCTCTTTGCTTCTGATGTAAAATGACAACATTTTAGATCTTGACAACTTGGCTGTTTTCTTTGGTGCAAATGAGAGGAGAGAGCCCGGACTTCTTCCCATTTTGCTGAAAGGCTGAAACGCATCCTGTCCTGAATAAATTAACCTCCTAGAGATGGGGACTCGCATTTAAGGCATTTGGTTGTCTGGGTCCCTGTCCTCCAATGACAGTATCACAGGGAGTGCTTTCAGGGGGAAAGGACAGGAGATCACCAACCCTGGGGTTTGGGAGGGCAGTCGCTGAGCAGTTGGGGTTTCTGACTCGTTCTTCCTCGTCTGAAGAGAAAAGACCCATTTTCTTGAGAGGATGGAGGTGCCGTTGAAAAGGTTTGACCTGTGCGTAGGAGAAAAACTTAACATCGTCATCTTCTGTCCCTTGATGATTTTCCCCCTATTTATCTAACAGCCACACCGTTTATACTTAAAGAACTTAACTGCAGTATTGAGCACCGGGTAAGGAGTCTGTATCGAGAGTCTTCAGCTTATATTGAAAGGCAAAACCCAGGTAGCTCTGGTTCCGAAGAGAAAGTAGGTTCTTACGTAGTTCATTCAGCAGTCCTGGAAGAGAACATTTCTCTCCAGTGCATTTCCATATACTAAATTGACCTATATTAGTTTGAATTTCAGGAGGAAGAATTTAGGCTATATGTTAGGGGGATAAAAAAAAATAATTTCAACCATGCGCATCTAGAGACATTTAAATGTTTTCCGACATGTTCTAGAATCTTCTTGGGGGGGAGAAAGACTGTTAACTCTGCTTTGAGGGGCTTTTGTGATCTTCTTTATAAAATCTAGGTAAAGGCTTAATACATTTTCCCAGTCCTTTGTTACAGTTACTCAGAATATTTAAAGAGGAATTGTCCTGTAACTGGAGGGAATGAGACTTCTTTATCACTTAGGCAGACGCAGGGGAAATCACAACTTCGAGGTGAGTCACACTTGGCTCTATAGAAACGATAGTTTGGTTTCTTTTTCATAAGCAGTTACTGATTTTTTATGTGTTTCTATTTCCCTTTTTTTTTTGGTCTTTTACTCGTGCTTCTATTTTGTGAGTAGCAAGATGTAATATTTGGCAACAAAATGATTTGTGTGAAAAAGGAGTTGGAAACAGAGACTTTTCGTTGAAAAAAAATTATTAGTTCATTTGTTAATTTTAACCTCGCTCATATTTGTGTGATCGCTCTCCTGAAAACGTGCTGTAAACATTCCAGGAAGCAGGCGCTGAACCAGTTTGTGGAACACAAGCCCGAGTTCCTGTGCGCGCTTAAGTTCCTCAGGTTATGGGCCTGGTGTTTCCGCTTCCGACACAGACCGGTTTAGGGTGTTCTGAATTGGATGGGGTCTTTCCGAAATAAGCGCACACATACCCCCTTTCTTACTCAGAGTTCTCATTCCTTGAAGTGCAGGAATCTAGAAAAAAGGCAGAAGTTTCTGAACGGTTGTGTCTCATAAGACCAGAAGCCAGTGAACCAGAGCGTTGCCCATAGTTCTGAAGATCACAGAGATGTGGCAATGAAGGAAAGGCTCGCTTCTGTAGGAAGTCAGGACCATAGCTCACTGTGGCTAAGGAGCGGAGTGATGGTCTCCCAGCACGTGAAGCTTCTCTGTCTCCACAGAGTTGAGTTCTTACTTCAGAATTCTGCCTCAGGTCATAGATTCAGCCTGCGGGAGTAGAACCTGGTTTTACGCTCTCACAGCCCCATCGCTGCCTCACCAAGTTCTGTTAGAAGGTCTTGCTCTGGGGTCATTTTGCAAGTGAATGATAGAACTTAGGCCAAGTTGGAGTCCTCCCTCTTGGATCCTCCTGGAATTCAAGAGTGGATTGTTACATCAGTGTTGGGTTTTTCACTCTGTATTTCCTTTTGGCTCAAAATCCATTTTGGGTTTTTCTCAGGGGGAAGAGGTGAATATTTTCCAGCATCCTTGTTTCTCTGTCTTCATCTCTCTTTTTCCACCCTGCCTGATGTACTCACATGTGGAAATAAACCCCCACTTTGATTGGTAGGAAGATACTGGAAGACCATTCATACTTCCTTCTTGATGGCAAGAAGAAAAAAACCTTTTCTGTACCCTGTAATGTTCAGTTCCTGGGAGCCTGCAAATTAAACTGACAGAGGACTGATGAGCAAGAGAAAAGACTTTACTCACAGGTGCACCATGCACTCACACAGGAGTGCTTCCTGATGAGGAACTTGAAGGGGCAGTTAGGATCTGGAGCTTATGTGTATGTTACCCCTAGCTTAGTAGGGGAAAGAGAGTATGGAGCAAAGGCCCTTAGGGGAAGAACACATAGGTTTCTTTCTTTCTTTCTTTTTTCTTTTTTTAAGATTTTATTTATTTTTTTGACAGAGAGAGAGAGAGCGATCACAAGTAGGCAGAGAGGCAGGCAGAGAGAGAGGGGGAAACAGGCTCCCTGCTGAGCAGAGAGCCCGATGCGGGGCTTGATCCTAGGACCCTGAGATCATGACCTGAGCCTAAGGCAGAGACTTAACCCACTGAGCCACCCAGGCGCCCCCAAATAGGTTTCTTTATGAAAGACATAGGAGTTTTTAGGAGAACAAATAGAAGATAAGAAAGTTTGTGAAAAAGTTGGTTTATACGGGCACAAGCAGTCTTTGTTTTTCATGGCCGTGAAACTCCTCAGAGGGGATTTATGGTAGGTTTACTCTGGTCTCTCCCCTAGGGTTAGAAGCCACTCCAAAGAGGGAACTTAAGGTAGTCCTCGTTTCTCAGAAGTTTCTGCTTTTAGTCAGCTCATGGAGGCTCTGGGAAAGCTGCTTTTTGCGTCTTTGGATCTCAGCCGTCTTCACCTTAAAATCATCTCTGTGTCGGCTCTGGGGTTCTGAGCGGGTCCCCACAGTGTCAGCCGGGGAGAGGATCCCTCCTGCATCCCTCTGCTTTCTGGCGTCCTGTGCTGTTTCATAGTGGGTGTCTGAGACCTC